TAGCCCTTCCAGCATTTCATATTTCACATTAGGTCCATGACTCATTTGGAGTCAACTTACGTACAGAGTGATAGATATTGGTCCAATTTCATTCTTCTACATGTGGACATTCCCTATTCCCACTGGCACTTGTTGAAGATGCTGCTCCTTCTCCAGTACATATTTGGCATCTTTGTCAAACACCAGATGGATGTAATTATGTGCACTCATGCTTTGGGTCTTCCATTTTTTTTCTGTTAGCTTCTATGTCTGTTTTTGTGCCAGTACCATACTGTTTTTATTACTATAGCTATTTAGTATTATGAAATCTGTAATTATGATTCCTCCAGCACTGTTCTTTTTGCTCAGGATACCTCTGACAACATGGGACATTTTGCAGTTTCATATGAATTTTAGAAATTTTTTTCTATTCATTTATTATATTTTTTTATTATAATTTGATTTAATTTTACATATCAGCCATGGATTTCCCTGTCCTTCCTTCTATTTTTATAAAAATATGAAATTGGTGTTTTGACTGGGATTACATTGAGTCTACAAATTATCTGGTTAGAGTGTTTATTTTCACAATATTAATTATACCAATCAATTAACATGGGTTGATTTTCTATTCTTCTGACTTCCTTAATCATTTTCTTCAGAAATTGTAGTAGTGTTATACCTTCTTGGTTATGTGTATTCTTAATCTTTCTGAGGCCAATGTGGATGAGAGTTTGGAGATAATATTTTTTCCAGTGTGCTTGGTGTTGGTGGAGACAGAAATCACTCATGTTTAAGTTGGTTTTATATCCTGCTACTGTGCTGAAATTGTTGATTGCTCCTAGTAGTTTTACAGTGGACATTTGTGATCTTTTCTGAGTAATATAGTATCATTGGAAAATAGGGATAGTTTGACTTCTTTTTTCCCTGTTTGTGTGCCTTCCATTTTGTTCTCTTGTCTTATTTTTCCAGCCAGTGCTTCCAGCATTATATTGAAAAGGAGTGGAGACAGTGGACAACCCTGTGCTGTTCCTAGTTATAATGAGATTATGTCAAGACTTTTTATCTTTTTGGATGATGTTGGCTGTGGCTTTGTTATATGTAACCCTTACTTTATTGATGCGTGTTCTTCCCATAATTACTCTCACCAGGACTTTTTCCATGAAGTCATTTTAGATTTTGTTAAAGTCTTTTTCTACATCTATTGAGATGATGATGTATTCTATGTTTAAATGTGGTACATATAACCAGTGAAATTATTTAGCTGTAAGAAAAAGAAAGCATAAAATTTCAGGTAAATTAGTGGAACTAGAAAATACAATGACTTAAATAACTGATACTAAGAAACATAGCCTCATACACTTCCACATTTATAATTCCCATAACCAAGGGGGGGCAGAGAAAGTAGGAAAGTTAAAGGAGACAATAGAGGTAAGAGAAGCACTGTACAGATGCTATAAAAGGGGATTGAAAAAAGGGGGAGAAGTTCTTAACTGGTGGAGGAGAATGAGTGCAATACAGATAGAAAGATAGAAGAGGGATAAACAACATTAAGGATGTTTCAAATCTTATAGAAACTTATATCATTATATTTTGCTTACCTAAAATTATATCATATGCCTGTGTAAACAAGACCTAATCAATGACAACACCAACTTACATGTTAGCGTGGATGAGGAAATCTCCCAGGGTTCCATCCATAAGTAAAGAGCTACAGTAATTAATGAATGCTAAGAGAGGGGAAATCAATATTCTCCATGGTTGGGCCTCTGATACATTATCCAATCCCAGGTGGTCAGTAATAAACATATACACACATGAGCAACACTAAATAAGCTGAGCAGATTGTACATATGTATTTATAAATTTTATATAAATTTATGTAAAATAATAATTATAGAAGAGGCAAGAATGAGAGGGAGAGAGAGAGAGAGAGAGAGAGAGAGAGAGAGAGAGAGGAAGGCATGGAAGGAGGTAAAGGGTAAGATTGAGGATTGAAAATGGTAAATACAATAAGCATGTAGAAAATTCTAAAAAATACTTGTAAGAGCTTTAAAAGGGGTGAAATAGCTAGGGAGAGTGTGAGAACAAGAAACAGCTGCCATGAGAGTGATCATAGAGTGAGTCTAACCAGCCTCTTCTGAGAGCAATCTCCAGTTCTGGACAACATCATTGAGCAGTCTTCTCCCAATCCCCAGCACATAGGAAAGGTGTGATCTATAACTTTATCAGGGAAGAGGGAAGTTTCACATCATGTGTTTAGTTCATGGCAGTGTATGTGACAAGGAGAATGGGTGAGCCAGATAATGTAAACTCAGAGTTTACAATTCACAGCACAGACAGCTCCTGCATTCTCTGTCCTATAGTGAGCTGCAGGAGATGTGGTCTTATTAAAGCTGTGGTAACCTGGCCTCATGCTGCAGATTTGTGTCCTAACGCAAAGTTGTAGAGTTTATGCCTTGACAGCGGATTGGAATTCAGAGTGTAGCTGAATTCATCCAAGATATGAGTGAGGCAGGGGACTAAGGGTTTGTTCTTGCAGCCTGAAGGGAGAGATCAGAGAGGAACAAATAAATGTTCAGTAGCAGGAAGCCCTTGGTTAACTGGAAACAGTAAGAGGAGGGGGAACCAGATTGTTTTCTAGTCAAAGTTCATCATCATTGGCAATGATTTTCTGAAGACTGATGTTCCCAACTATGACAGGGTTTTTCCCTGAATGAAAACAAGAGCAAGCCACTGAAATGGATTAGAGGGTAAAGGCACTTGCTTCCAAGGCTATCATGCTGAATTCAATCCCCATATTAAACTTGGTGGAAGAGGAGAACCAATTCACTCATGCCTTCTATCCGCCTTATGTGTACAGTTGCATTTTCTTACCCATACACTGATGCATGCATGAGTAAACACACACACACACACACACACACACACACACACACACACACACACACACACATATATCTTGTATATATACATAAAATGCATAAGTGACTATAAACTAAAAGTCAAGCTACGTATGAGCCTATTTTGGAACCTACCAACTTGAAATTCCTTCAAAAGTCAGTGCCCTTCCATAATCATTCATTTAATTGTTCATCCACAGACGGTTCAGCTTTTTCTGGGGACTGGAAAAGCAAGAATATTCTGTCCTATCAAAGTCCTAGATTCAATGGACTGGAAAAGCTGGAAGGCACCCAGGCATTTAGACGATGAATTCAGGGAATGTGGAAGGAATGTCAAAGGAATGCTTGGGAGATGATTCAGTGTTTAATCACACTTGTTGCTTTTCCAGATGGCCTGAGTTCAGTTCCCATCACACATATCAAGAGGAATCACAACCTTACCCAGCTCCAACTCCTGGAGATTCCACATAATCCCTGGGTATCCAATAGTCAGCTAGGCTTTTTCTTTTGAGTCTCAGTATAGACACCCAAGCTGCAGTGCTGCCAAAGTCATCGACAATGGTTCTGATGGGCTGATGAAACTTCACAAGACAGTCAGGGTCTCCTAGGGGAGGCATAGGGCATAGGTCCTCCTGATGACTACAGGTCCTTAGGGATTAAATCTAGCAAATTCCCTTCTGCAGGCAAGTAATAACAGATGGTACTGATCCATAGAGCTGTCCTGTCCCAGTGTCAGGGCCTTGTTAATATTTGAAGCTACCTTATTTCCATGGCAACATTTGTTCTTCATGTGTTTTATCATTGGGAAACTGAGACACAGAAACCCCAGTGCATAGCTCTGCCTCACACAGTCAAGCTGTCTGTGTAAAACCATGTATATGTATACAGTGTCTTCTTCATCCTGAGGACCTTGTCAAGTGTCTATGGAGAAAGAGGAGTTTTATTTCAGAAATGTTAATCTTGGTCATTGGGCACTTAAGGGTATATCTGTTCCAGGAAGTAAGAAAACAAAAGGATAGTTAGATTTTACTCTAGATGTTATCTACCTGCCTCAGAAGAATTTCTGAAAAATTCCAGTGTTCTGCAACACAGCTGTTGGACAAGAAATCATGTGTTTTCTGGAATGCTGCTGTGACTACTCTAGAAAGGCAAAGTACATGGCTTTCTTTTCCTCCTTTCAATAGATCCTGCATCTAACACAGGGCTCTCTCCAAGAAGTCACTATTTCAAACAACTTCAGCATCTGTCTCTCATTATGCCTCATTGTACTCCTTAGAGAAGTAATCCTTTCATGAATTAGCCTTAGATTTTGAGTATGAGTAACAATGGCCTCATATAAAAAATTTTAAAGTCCAAAATTCCTAACCTCTGCCAAACACACTTCTACCTTCTACCAGTAATATTTGTCTCTGAACACATCCACTTGGAAGTCCTGGAGATATGGCTCAGTGGGTAAGAGCAAAGATAGCTCTTATAGAAGACTGATGTTCTGTTCCCAGGACATCCATGGCAGCTTCTAAGCAAATTATAATTCCATTTCCAGGGGATTCAATGGCCTCTTCTAGATTCTGTGGGCACAAGGCATACTTGTGGTTTGCAGATACACATGCAGTAAAAATAACCATACCAGTGGAAAGAGACAAACAGAAATAAAGAAATAAGAAATAATGGAAGGAAAGAAGGAAGGGAGGGAGGGAGGAAGAAAACAGCAACCTATATTTCAGAAAATATCTCTTTATGGTCCTTACCTGTGAAAGACAGAGCATTTAGGCCAAGACAATGTTTGTTCTTCAACCTCACCTGTGCCCCTTATTCATCCATTTCCTAGACCATTCTGAGACTCATTTGTCTTTTGGAGACCTGTGTCTCATCTCAGTCACCATGAAACACCTGGGAATATTGGGAAATGTTATGGTCCAGCCTGCTCATTTAGCTGAATGGCAGGTGCACTCCCGGTCTCATGTTTGAGGTTTCTGTACACACAGGTCTGGAGGAGAGCCTGTGGGTACTTCTCAGGGAAGCTCAATGGGAAGCCTTATTCTGTTTCACCTGTAAAATTTCCTTGAACATCATTGCCTTGGAGGGCACTGGACAAGGCTCAGCAGTGGACATCAGTACAGCTAGAGGGTCACAGCACTTTGTATTGCAAGGCAGCAGTGGGTCACTGGGGACCACAAGAGACCATGGTTACATGGCTCCAGGTCCTAGGTCTGTATCATCAAGCTCTGAGCTCAGCTCATACATGGTGAAGACTGTTTCTCTCACACAGCACAGGTGACCCACCATCTCTGAGCATTCATGTCTCCCTTCTTCTTGGTTCTCTAAGGAGAAGTATTAGGGGTGGATGTTAGAAAGACCAACATTGGATGAAAAAGGCCTTTGCAAATGTCAAAGGTCACACACAGGGCCATCTTCTCTCTGTTTTCTGCACAAAACTGCTACCCAAAGCCACCATCACAAGTGATGATTTTAACTCCATGGAGGTTAAGGATTGTAGCCTTAAAGAAAGGACATAAGAGCCAAAGTGCAACCTATTTGTAGGGGGAATGATCAAAATCTCACAAAAGGTGAAAGATTGAAGCTGTCAGAAGGTAAGTTGACTCTCACTTTAATGAATGACACAATTGACAGTAGACATCATGAGTGAAAAACTGGGAACTGAAATGAGTGCCACTCAAAGAGACACATTCAACCTGAACATGGCCTGTGAATATTTTTTTCTGTTTCATCATGGCTACAACTGCCTAAATGTAGATGTTTAGAGTGGTGACACTTGGTCCCTCTTGGGTACATGACACAGAACCACCACACAGGAACTGAGGCTGGTCTATGAATTCTGGCTTATCTCAAACACATGTATCCAGGACCAGCATTGAACTAGAAGGAGCTGGAGGGTCTTCTCCTGCCTGGAGAGGCTCAGGGTGATAGAGATGAGAGACATCTCAGACTTGGTCTAGTTCACAGAAGTACACAGTACAGTGTAGAGTGGAGCGGTTTTGTTTGTTGTGCTGGAGATCGAGCAGGCATCCTGCATGAGTACTGTCCTACTAATCTGCATACTGGCTCTGGTTGGGACCTGCTCAACTAAGACCATACCAGAGATATGATAACCTTCTATAGACTATGATTTCTGCTGACATCACACAATATTTTATTCTGTTTGCTCCAGATTGGTCAGATGACCTGATCATATCCCTCATGTGTATCCATTTTTATCCTGGATCAAATCTCAACCTCTTCTGTGCAGTTGCCTCTCACTCACCTGCACGTACTCTTCTCTCTTCATGGGGAACCCCATATATTCTGCCAAGAGCACTCTATTTCCAACATCACTATAAATTATTGAAGATCCTATATCTCCCTTGTCCAGAACACAGCCATTGGCATCAATGACACCAAAGTGAAGAAAATTACACGTCTTGGGAAGTGGATCTCTTAAATGACATCATTTAGCTTTGGGGTGAAGCTTTGGTTTTATGGATTGATAAGAAAATTAATTCTCAGCTTGCGTCATGGGCACAAATTCCAGTCCTCCAAAGAGATTTTTGCTATGATTCTTTCTCCTCTCCTTTTATCTCTTATTTTTCTTGGATGACCCTACACTGATGTTGGAATGCATACTGTTGGGGTCCTCCCAAGAAAGAGAAACTTCCTAGGCAGAGACTTTACTTAAGATCAAGTAAATTTTTCTTTCTGTCAGTATCTCATGTTTTCATGTTCCCTCCATTTGTTTTCATGATCACCATGATGCAGAAGATTAGCTCAAACCTCTGAACCATGCCCATGTTCCTTATCCCAAATGCTCCTAGACACTGTCTTGCCTCATCTAGTGATTGGCTTCTGTTCTGAATCCAATGGAGCAAGAAGAGGCAGGTGATAAATGTGCCTGGGAGGCCTATCCTGAGTCATGATGAAACTTATGTTTTGATGAAGCTGTTTACTTATCTCTTCATCACAATGTCTGTGGTGGATATCATGGTGTCCCTGAGCTCAGGATCTGGGAAGTTGGAAACATGACACTCAGGGTAGATGTTCTTGAGCTGTACCCTGGCTTTGAGGGGACAGCAGAACTCGTAATGACTGTAGCAAACAGAGACAGACACTCACTTGGAGAATGGGGAACTTCCCGTGGTTTTCCTCTATAGAGGAGGAGGACATAACAGTTTGAAACCATGTTCTAATTAGCATTAACTTCACCTAGACACAGCTGAAATTCACCTGAATAGAAAACAAAGTAATGAAGCACAGACCACACAGTTAGAAGAAGAACATATAAATGACCTGCTTGCCAGTTGAACACTCTACTCCCTACATTCTGTTCCCATAGGCCTGTCCCAAGGCCCAAGCTTTCCCAGAACACCAACTGTCCTATTATGGGACACTTTCTCCAATACTGGCTGACTTCTTTGGATCGGACACAGTTCACACCAGTAAGAAAAACAGAGACCCATGCTGCATCAAACACCAAAAGCTAACCATCAGTAGTCCAGCTCTCAACTTGGACAGAGGCTCCAAACTAGGTCATAGGTAATGTCCATGAGCAGAAACCAAGGCCACAAAGACTAGAAGACCATAGAGCAAACAAAAACAAAGGAACAATTTGCAAATCCTACAAAGACAAACTCAGAAATTAGATCCTAGACCTAATCATCCCAAACCCAGAAACCTAAACAACAGTGTAAAAATACAATCAACAACATATAAGTCAATAGTGCAACAAGAGATCCCATCTATCATATGACTTCAAGACCTGAATATTCAATGCTACTGAAGGACAAGAAAAAGACCCTAAAAACAACTTTATGAAGATATTAGCAGTACTTAAAAAGGAAATGAACACCTTTAAAGAAATCAAGAAAAAGACAACCAAAAATTGGCAGAAATCAATAAATCTTATAAAGAATGTCAATAAATCAAAAAACAAACAAACATAAAGGAAATTTTTCAAGTTCTGGAAACTGAAATAAAAGCAGTAAAGAAAACACAAAGTATGGGAATTCTGGAAATGGAAAATCTGGATAAATGAACAGGAGCTACAGAAGCAAGCATCATTATTGGAATACAAGAGATGGAAGAGAATTCTGGGCATTGCAGATATGATACAAGATAGCTTCATCAGTCAAAGAAAATGTTAAATCAAAGAAAACACTAAAGAAATATGGGACACCATGAAAAGGTCAAACTTATGGATAATAGCTATAAAAGAACGAGAAGAATCTTGTATGAAAAATCCAGAAAATATATTTAACAAAATCATAGAAGAATAATTTTCCTAACTTAGAAAAGACATAGTTATAAAGGTTCAAGAACCTTAGAGAATAACAAATAGATAGAAAGGGAAAATAAAGTCACTGAGTAATATAATAATCAAAACACTGAACATACAGAACAAAGAAAGAATATTAAAAGCTGCAAGATAAAAAGACCACATAACTTATGAAGGTACACCTATTGGAATTATACTCAAATTCTCAACAGGAGTCTCAAAGACAAAAGGGCCTGGACTGTTGTCTTACAGACTTTAAGAAACTATTGATGCCAGTCCTGACTACTACACCCAATAAAACTTTTGATCACCATACATTGAGAAAACAAGATATTACATGAAAAGTCAAATTTAAAGAATTTCTATCCACAAATCCACCACTACAGATATACTAGAAGAAAAGCTCCCACCCAAGAAAGTTAACTACAGTCACAATACATAAATGATAGATAATCTCACAGTAGTAAAACCTAAGAAGAGAAACACATAGACACACACACAAACACACTCATACACATACAAACTCATATTACCACAAATAACAAAATAACATGAAGTAACAATCACTGCTTATTAATATCTCTTAAAATCAGTGGACTTATTTGTATATAAAAAGACACAGGTTAACAGAATGGATCCCAAAACAGGACTCATCCTTCTGATGCATACAAGAAACATACCTCAACCTTGAAGACAGACAGTACCTCAGAGGGAAGGGTGGGGAAGATTTTGGAATCAAATAGACCTAAGAATCAAGTTGGTGTAGCTATCCTAATAGATACAAAATAGATTTCAAATTAAAATTAATCAAAAGAGATGTGGAAGGACACTTCTTATTTATCAAAGGAAAAATCCATCAAGATGAAGTTTCAATTCTCAACATTTATGCCCCAAATATAGAGGCATCCACATATGTAAAAAGAAAAATTACTAAAGGCTTAAGTCACCCTTCAAACATCACACATTAATAGTGTGAGAGTTCAACACCAGAGTCTCATTAATGGACAGGTCTGCCAGACAGAAACTTAACAGAAATAAGGGAACTAACATGTTATGATGCAAATGGACCTACGCAATAACTAATGGACATTTCACCTACACAGTAAAGAATAAACATTCTCTCAGTACCTCAAAGAACCTTCTCCAAAATTGACCATATACTTGGTCTCCAAAGCAAGCCTCAACAGATACAAGAAAATTGATACAACCTCCCGCATATTATCAGACCACCAAGGGTTAAAAGCTAGATTTCAACAACAAAAAGCTTACAAACTCATGGCAATTGAACAATTCTCTACTGAGGGCTAACATCAATTAAAATTGAATCAAAGAAGACAATATAAAAATCAATGAAACAAACAGTTTGTTCTTTGAGAAAATAGACAAGATTGACAAGCCCTTGTCCAAACTAACTAAAGGCAGAGATAGAATATCCAAATTAACAATATCAGAAATGAAAAGGGGACATCAAAACAGACACTGTGGAAATTCAAAGAATCATTAGGCCACACTTCCAACCTGTAAGATGTATAACTGAAAAAAATTTTCTCCCACTCTATGGACTCGCTTTTCACTTGCTGGATTATCTTCTTTAATGTATAGAAGCCTTTTATTTCTATGAAGTCCACATGCCAATTTTTTCCTTATTTCCTGTGAAAATGGAGTCCTGTTCAGAAGTCCTTTCTTACACTTGCATCATGTAAGACAATGCCTATTTTTTCTCCTAGTACTTTCAGCATTCATTTCATATTTCATATTGATGTCCATGACCCATTTGGAATCAGATTTCATGCAGGGTGACATGAATTGATCTAAGTTCATTCTTAAACATGTCAAAATTCTGTTTTCCCAGAAGCACTCTTTGACTATG